CAAGAAATAGCCACTTTGGTTATATGAACCAGATTTAATCTTATGTATACTCTTTGATAACAGAGGAAATTTGATTATCGAGCTCTTTTGGTTATTTGATTTCTTCTTTCATACAAAGCAAAATTGAATTATATCTTTCTCTGAGTAATTTGAAGCTTGTTAAAGAAATCAAATACATAAACAACATGTTCCAGTAAAATCTTTACTCAATAAAAAGAAATGGATACTTAATTTCACAATTATCGCCTATGCAACAATTTTTGCATTATAGAAAGTCCAGAGACTCTTCAGGATTTTATTCAGATACAGACAAAGGAAATCCAAGATAACATAAGGAGTAGACACAATAAGATCTTCCTCCTCATGCCAAGCATTGACATAGGAGTATATGCACAATCATATGGGTAACAACCTTTTATTTTTTATAACAGGTTAATCTCAATTCTCTTTTCTCTTTCTCTGTTGTTTTCTTGTGTTACTTTGATATTTTTATCATTCGATGTAATATGTATGGTGTACAAAATCAACAAGATAGGATGTATGAAGCAAACCTTCTATAAAGAGCACATGCAAAGAAAGTAAGGGCAATATTCTTCCATAATTGAATTTTTAGCATATTGTCTTAGAATAAGACCAATATTCTTTTAGAATAAGGAAGGGTGATATTCTTCCCATGTCAACACGTGCAAGAGAAAGACTTGGAATCGAGCATTAAATAGATCAATTGCATTTGTTCTATAATTGTATATTTAAGCATGATACACTTTTTAAGAATTTATTTCATTTTATGACGTTTTGTTAGATTATACATAATTTTATTAAAATGTATAAGACTAGTATTCCATAAGAACATATATATATATATATATATATATATATATATATATATATATATATATATATATATATATTAAATCTACATTCAGCTATCCATGAATATACACCGATCTTGTTATTTTTCAATTAACGGTTCAAGAATGTTGTATTTCTTCAAGATGTTAATTTAATCAAAATATGTATTTTGTCAAAAAGTATATATCTTGGCATTCTTGTAGAATATCATTTTAACAAAATGACATTCTGACAGAGTCAGACATAACTAAAAAATTATGTTAGAAGTAAAAACAAAAAATTAATTAATTAAAAAAATCAAAATTTTTAAATCAAGAAAATTAATTATCTCCTAAAAATATGGATTTTTTTTTTAATTTTATCTTAATTGGCTAAAATACCCTTATGTTAAAATTAAATGGTAAGTGACAATGGGCTACAATTTGCTGAAAACCCGTTCAAGGAGTGGTGCACCAACAAGGGGATCGGTTAGCGATTCACATCGGTAGCACATCTACAAGAAAACGGACAGACGAAAGTATCTAACCGAATCATCATGAATGGGATCAAGAAGCAGTTAGGAAAGGCCAAAGGAAATTAGGTTGAAGAGATACCGGCAGTACTATGGTCATACAGGACCACCCCAAGGACAAGCACACGGGAAACCCCATTTAACCTGACATACGGAGCGGAGGCGATGCTTCCAGTAGAGATGACGATATGCACGCTGAGGACAACCCGCACCGACGAAGAAGCTAACTCTCAGGACCTAACGTTGAACCTGGATATCCTCGAAGAAAGACGAGAAAAGTCAAGCATTCTCCAGGCCGCATATAAACGTGCAGTGGAAAAGTATTACAACCAGAGGATCAGAGAGAAGGCATTCAGGATTGGAGAATACATGCTAAGAAAGAATGAGGCAATCCGGGCCCAACCACAGAGCAAGATGGGTCCCGTATAGGAAGGCCCATATAGGGTTATCGAAGCAAACCAAAACGGGGTGTACATCATGGAAATGATGAAGGGAAGGCAGATACCAAGAACATGGAACGCAAGGAACTTAAGGAAAATTTACTTCTAAAAAGAGAACCCCCGTATCAACAAAGTAAAACTTGGAAATCCAGACGAATGAGTGTCGGATGACATCTCAAACGCCCAACACAAAGCGCCAAGGCTCTAATGCTTAGTGCATTAAAAAAAAATTATCACCTGGTGTGCTGAAAACCTTGTACCTAGCATACCAAGTCTAAATATTCAAAATGTTGAACTTTGTACTCAGTGTACTTAGTTATTAGGTTCATCACTAACATGTACAATGCTTAGCGCATTAAGAACTAATACTTAGTGTATTAAAATTCAGGATTAGCATACAATGATTAGCGTATTAAGAACTAATACTTAGTGTATTAAAAGTCATGATCAGCATATGATGCTTAACGCATTAAGAATTAATACTTAGTGTATTAAAATTCGTGATCAGCATATGATGCTTAGTGCATTAAGAACTAATACTTAGTGTATTAAAATTCATGATCAGCATACAATGCTTAGTGCATTAAGAACAAATACTTAGCGTATTAAATTTCATACAATGCTTAGGGCATTAAGAATTAATACTTACCATATTAAAATTCACAATTAGCACATAATGCACATAATGTTGATCAATGCATACGTACAACACTTATTGTGTCGAACTACCCTTATGAACAACACAGGTGGGTAAACTCTTAAAAGCATGGCTCCGCGATAATTAATACACCAAACCTAACAACCAACACACAATACAATAAGTGCCTAGAATGGCATAGAGGGTTCAATATTGTACAAAAAAGCATCATCAACGAAGAAAAATAAAAGCAATGCTATGATGAAACCCAAGAAACAACTATCAAAAATAGTGATAGACACACAGAAATACATTAAAAAGTCTTCACACCCACGGAGGGGCAGCACACGAAGCCTGTCCATCTTCAATCACATCATTGCCACCATCGCCGCCCTTACCACCGCCAACAGAATCATTATCAGCACTAGCTCTCTCGCCACTGCAACCCTCAAGAAACTCTTCCACATAACCACCACTCTTATCAACAACCTTGTCAACACAAACACGCTCATCAATAACAACGTGGTCATCTTCACTACTCTTACTGTCCAAACTAACATTAGCTACCACACCACTATCAGCACCTTCAACAACAGTACTGTCACCACCAATAACGACTTTATCACCATGACCAACCTCATCATCATCATCTTCCATAACTTCAGGAGTACAGTCGAAACCTGAAAAAAACACAAAGATCACGAATTCCTTGCATATCTAAATCTCCTAACCTCAACAACGAAGCATGATCCATGCCAACAAACGCCAAAAGAGCCTCATTCACACTTACAACAGGGCCGGAAGAAGGGGTATTAATAAGACCTTTCTTGACCAGAACTCACTAGAGCACTGCGAACAAACTCCGCTCCAGCAACAAAGGCAGAGTGAAGAATAAGACTCACAACACTTGTAAACTCCGGATGTTCAATCAGCTTATCAACGACTCGCACAAGGCCCACTCGTAGCATCCAATCTAGATCATGTTGCGCAGCATTCACACTCAATTGAAGATCAATGACCATCCAGTCACGGTCAACAGGATCACGCTCCAGACTCTCGACTTGGACCATCAAACCCTCGTTAACCTGAGAAATGGAATCAACCTTTGCTTCCAAATCGGTCCGGACCTCCTCCACAACAGCCTTTTCAGAAACAAGAAGTTGATACCTCTACTCTGCACATTGGAGATCACCACTGAGCTTTGAAACACGACGCTCCAATTCAACCACACGAGTCCCACAACCAACATGTGCAGTCTCCATCTCACCAAGCGTCTGAATGCACCGTGCACCTGCGACAAGATAAAACATGGTCTGCGCTGCAACATAATCCATATTGTGAGAAAGGGCAGGGCTACCCATAGCTTCCATATCAGCAATGGTGGCAGGAGGAAAAGCATGTCGGGCAAATTCCAGAGCGTTAACACGAACAGAAAGACAGTACTCGTTATGAATATTCCAGGAAGCAATAAAAGGAGAAGGCCTTTAGGAACCCTCGTTAAAATCCTTGATTGGAGAAATAGGAGCTTGCCCAAGATTATGGGGGCCCTTCGGAGGAGAGGGATTGACAGGAGCAGAATAAGCAATTTCAACAGGAACAACGAGCTGTTTAAACACCCTATTGATCCCTTTAGACTGGTAAACGTCACCATCAGGGATCACAACAACGGCCGTCGATGACGAAGAAATAGAGCTCAAAAGATGCGAAAAGCTACACCTAGTCTGAACACGATTGGCAACATGGGGTGCACCGGTGACTGACTCTCCCATGGCTAATAAGGCTTTCCATTTAGCTTGCAACCGTCGGGCATCCAAAATGATACCATCCTTACTATCCTCATCATCATTGACGAAAGTAGGATAAGCACCACCCAAATCCATAACGGCCGTGATAGGGCAGACCGCCAGAGGATCTGCCTCAGCAGACGATGAATCACCCCTCATCGTTAGAGGAATGGGCATAGCAGCGGTCAAAGAAAGCTGATCTAACCAGCGGGGCGAAGGAAGACGATCGACCAGATCCACTTCTCGACACTCCAACTTACCCCGGTAGCACTTTTGAAGAACCTCGTCCATGGATAAAGGGGACTCGATGCTGAAAGTTTAAAGCAGAATAGGAGGAATCAGGATGTGAAGGCCCCAAAACAAAAAACCCCCTAATACCAATAAACAGGAACAGAGGATGAAAGGACAGATACTTACCATCAACAGTGCAAAAGAAAACCACCATTTTGTCGTGACGCCTCCAAGACGGGCTCATCCCCACACCGGACAAAAGGGCTTCAGAATAATCCTCGGGAGACACCTGGACACTTTTTAGGAAGTCAGCCACACACTGGTTATGGGGAAAGAGGTTGGGAGTGGTATCAGCAAAAGTATTAGCACAATAGCGACCACTGCTAGCCAAACCCTGGTTCACCCATAACCACTTGTCTTGCTAATTTTTGGGCGTTCAACCATCAGGGACAAGGGTGTGTCCCCCCTCACCGGACAGAAAACGTGTATCTATCATCAGTGCAACAAAAACTGAAAAAGTACTTGAACACGAAATAATCGGGAAGCTAGTCGTTAGCCCGACAGATCATTTCGAAAGCTACAACCTTATTCACAACATTTGGAGTCAACATTTGAATGCTACAACCATCCTTTGGAAGAACTTCGTCTTGAAATTTGGTTAGTGGGAGACGAAGACCAGCATCCAGGGTTTTCTGGTAAATCCCGACTTTTCCGAGGGGAGGAGACATGATTGAAGAACCCGGCGACGGAAACTCCACGCCATCCAAGGAAGAAAGACCATAAGTGCTCTCAAGATGTTGGTACTCGGTAGCAGAGGGCACAATACCTGGAGGACTTGTCATGGGACAGAAGAAAGGAAAATGGAGAAGAATAAAGGGAAGCGTAAAAAAGGGAGAAAGATAAGTACCTTTATAAGAAAACAGAACAAGCGCGATATTCAAAACACCTGACACGATGACGTAACTGCTGTCCATAATGCGCGGTCACATCACTATTAAAGTAGGAGTGGCGGGCAAACAGGGAAACGACACGTATAGAACAGTTAAGTCGAGAACGTCGTAGCTAGTAGTACAACGCTACGACTACCGGACTGGGGGACTTGATGATGTGCCTTAGTCAGCACGGAAGAGGCGCTCTCGACCAAGGAACCCGGCGCACTGGCCGAGCTAAGCCAAGCGAGATCAGTGCCCGCCAGCGCCCCTAATAGCATGGCGCCCCGGTGAAAGGCTCGCGCCCGCCAGAGACGCTCCCAGCGCCAAGACAAAAGATACGGTCGAGCGACAAGGCAAATACTCAGGGCATTACCGCCAGAACCAATAGCAGTATTCTGACAGACAGAGGCATATTATCCTCCAATCAGCGCCGATGGCCTTGTTCCCCAAAAGCGATCTTGTCTCGTACGGACGAACAAGGTCGCTAAGTATAAAAGGGCACGCTTAGGAGCCCAACAGGTAAGCAATTCTCTTCTAGATCAACACTAAAACCCTAAAAGAACTTCACCTAACTTGACCGTCGGAGCGTTTTTCCGGGGGCCTTCTACCAGGAAACGGCTGATGGCCCTTCTTTTTTGTGATCTTGCAGAAGTTATCCACGAATCACCAGAAGAGCTCTAAAAGGATCAAATCAAGGTCGCACCAGTAGTACGGGCCCATACTACCTTCCACACCTACCCATATTTGCATCAAGTATCATCACAACACCCTAACAATATACATAGGCATAGGCGAGTGCTCAATCCTAGGGATGAGCATCGTAACCGACCCAGACGAAACTGGCTCGGGAACCAAACTTGGTGGAAAATAGGAATCGAACCGGACCGCCGGTTTAACCGGTTCGCAGTTCCTACCGGTTTTTGTCGTGTCTTTAATGTTGGAACCGGTCTTCGAGAAATAAGAACAACCAGTTTCGGTTTTTTCTGGTTCTACTGGTTCCCAGTTCCAAAAATTCACAAGAATATCATCCCAGTCCCAGCCCGACTGGTTCCATCAGGTTTTGGTTTCGGTACTGGTACCGGTTCGGGTTCCGATATCGGCTCCAACTGGTTCCCCAGTGCAATGCTCATCCTTACTCAATCCTCACTCCTAGAAAAAGGCTAAGTATCTCATAACTGGACGACTGACGCCACACAACTCATCCATGAAACTTCCACCAACCCTGCAGCACTCGTGTATGCTAGTCATACATTACGTTGGACCATTTAGACATTCAAATATCTGATCCTACCCTAAGCCCTTCATCAAACAAGAACATGAAGTAAGGCCAAACCAAACATTCTTAGGCTATAAGATCTTAATTATGTACAACTATGATGCATACACTAAGCCACTATAGTAATGATGTCGCTTTCATATAAGGAAAACCCTAGGCTATCAGGCATCATATAATCTGACAATTCTATCATGCAATTCCTAAAGATCCCTGGACTATCACTAGCATGTTGTTCTAACATATCACAATATCAAATATCTGTATGGTATTTTGGGGTCTACTTAATGGCTCCAGCTGATGTACACTCTTCATCCTCCTTTGGTATTTTGAAAACCATTTGAAAATCCTTTCCATAGTTTGGGACTGGATTCACATGGGTGTTCCTCCGATTCACTCAAACCAAGGCTCTGATACCAACTTGTAACATCCATAAAATTCATAAAAAATTAGAACTTTTTCAAACATAAAAAGTTATTAGAAAATGTTTTCAAAATAGTTCCATATCATAGAATCCCATAAATCAAAATCATAAACGGTGAGGAGATGCACGATCAAGTCTTCACCTTCCCGCGATCATCCGAAGTACTTGAAACAAAATCCAAAACCGTAAGCCCAAATCTTAAAAAGTTCCCCCAAAACACCAACTTCATACAAACCAAAACCATATCATAATGAACAACATGCATATAGAGTCTACAGTATGATAGGAACGCCCGCACCGGGCCTTCAGTCTATCTGACCCACTCTCATAACCTTCAGCATGTCTGGTCCGCCCTAACGGGACTTCAGCTTGTCTGTACCGTTCTTCAGGCCTTCGACATTACTGGTACGCCCTGATGGTTATGCAGTATATTCGAACCATCCTGGGTCTATTGGCCTAGAGCACAAAGCATGATCACCTAAACCCTCCTACAGTCACACAATCAACACATAAATATCATACGCTATCATGTACAAACAGTCAAACTGATCTAACAGATCAATAATCATAGCATCATCCTATATACCAGGATACCGACCTAACATGTCACTAACATAGCATCATCCTATATACCAGGATATCGACCTAACCTATCACTAAGCATATCATCATGTGATAACAAGGATAACAATCCAAAAAGGTTCGGTATTGGTGCCTTAGACCCTATTAGTATAGTAAGGAAAACTCACCTCACAAGTAGTGTTGAATCAAGAAGATCAAACCCCAACTCTCAGCTCCAAACTCAGCTGGATGTAATCCTCATATGATTGATTCCATTAGAATCCCAAATTGCCAAAATACCCTCAAAAGTCAAATTTGGTCAAAGTTAAAGTCAATGTCAACGGTTAAGGTCAACAATCCATGTTGACCCAACTCGTCGAGTTCATCTAATGACTCGTTGAGTTCCTTCAGAAATCAGAAACCAAAAACTTGAGTCAACTCGCCGAGTTACCTGAGTAACTCATCGAGTTCTTCAGTGTCTAGAAGATCGGGAAAACCCTAATCAACTCGCCGAGTCATCGCACCCACTCGCCGCGTTCACTCAAAATCTAGAAGGCTGGTAAACCTGTAACATACACGTTTTGAAATCGTGTTTTATAATGAATAAAATTTTGAAATACTATGTGAAATTGAGTGTTGAGTTCTAACATTTGGTTTTTACTAGAAATGAAGTATAAACTATGTTTAGAATCACTCAGAAAATATTGGAAATCTTATGAAATTCCAATTAAAAGCCAAATAGTGAAATTTAGCGAAAATATAAAATTTTAAATAATTAAAATTTTATTATTTGATGTTTTATAGAATCTCTTTAGAAACTTGTAGGCAAAAACCTCATCAAAATCCGAGTTATAACGAAGAAGTTATGACCAACCGAAGATCCGCGACAAAACCGGCACGCGCCGAATGATGTAAAAAGTGAGTTTTTGATAAACTACTTTTTAGCCTTAGTAATCTAAATGAAAGTCGTAGTATGCGTTAAACCGAGAAATTTGATAAAAAGAACGCCAAAATCTGACTTCGTATAAGGAAGTTATGATTTTTCGAAGTTTCAACTTAGCAGTAGACAACTAAAAACTCGAATTTTAGATCGAGCGATATTTAACCGATACATCCTAAACGAGAATCAAAGGTCTCGTCATATGTATTATAACGGTAAAAAATCTAACGAAAACGGATGTCGGATGAAGAAGTTATGAATTTTTAACGGATTTTCTTGTCCCGGTCTGTTAAAAATAATAATATTAAAATTAAAGTCAAAATTAGCCGACGAAGTCCATACGAAAGTTGTAGAGCGTAATTTTAGCTACGCGTGCATATAAAGAACGTCAAAAACAGAGCTCGTATGCGAAAGTTATGGATTTTAGAAGTTCGGGGCTCGAAATCCGAGAATTTCGCATGAACAGTGTTCGGACACGTCACCTCGCACGAAGCAACAGCGTCACCGGAGACGTGGCCCAAACCGAGACTGACGCGTGTCATCTACCGATTTGACCGAAGTGCGAGCCAATCATCCTCCGATGCACCTCACTGCGGTGTACGAACATCGTTCCTCCACGTCTCGCCGACCCGCCTCGCATACGAAGCCACGTCCGAGCCTCGCAGCAGGCCTCGTGGCCTTCGCTTCTCGCGCCACCTGCCCCTCGCTGCTTGCTTCCTTCCCAGCCAACTTCGAACCTCGGCCCTATAAATAGGGGGTGCGAACCCTCCTGGCTAGAATTTGAAAATTGCCACTTTTAGCCCCTATTTCCATATTTTCTTCATTTTGACTTTCCCCAAAGCCCCGATATCAATTTTAGCACCCGAAACACATCCTGTGACCCCCGAGAAGCCCGGAAATTTTATATTTTCGGTTTTGAAGCCCTACCTTCGCAGAGCCCGGTTTTCAATTAAGCTTTCGGTTTTCAACATAGAAAGACATATTTAAAGCTGAAGTGCTGTCCAAATTACTATGTTAACCCCCCGGTTAACTTAAGGTGAGTTCAATATATAGGAACAATTGTATGTTATGTTTTATATGTGCTATGTGCTTTTCAATTAAGCTTTCGGTTTTCAACATAGAAAGACATATTTAAAGCCGAAGTGCTGTCCAAATTACTATGTTAACCCCCCGGTTAACTTAAGGTGAGTTCAATATATAGGAACAATTGTATGTTATGTTTTATATGTGCTATGTGCTTTTCAGTGTTATTATTCTGAGTTATTTTCTCGTGTTATTCGCTATGTTTATAACAATTGTAATACCTTTGACCATGTGATCAGTGAAAGGACTTAGATTCACATTGGTACTGGTACGCAGCCTCTGACCATGTAGAGCATGTCTCCGTAAGAGAATGACTTCTATTCTATGTCATTAGCAAATGGTTAGACAGGACTATAAGCCGAAAATCTAACAAGATGTTAATCAGCAATTGCATGTCTTCTATGCCATTTGGGCCAAAGCTTTATTGATGTATATCAAGAATTGAAAAGTATATCTTTGAATAAAGTCTTTGATTGATATGAACGCTTGTCACATGATCTCACATACATCTTGTTGTTCCACTTTGCTTTTGCCACATTGAAGTATATATATGGCATAACATTATATTGTATCTATTTTTGAATTCACTAAGCGTTACCGCTTACCCTATCAATGTTTAGCAATTGCAGGTGATAAGTAGCTAGTATGTTTACATACTATTGAATGATTTAGAATAGTTTGTAATAGTACTTATGTACTACAGTTTATGTTTGTATAAATTACAATATCCTGGGTAGTTATGTAATATATATAACACTTTG